GATGGATGAGGTCCCGATGGAGGAGGCCCTGATGGATGAGGTCCTGATGGATGAGCTCCCGATGGACGAGGTCCCGATGGATGAGGTCCTGATGGATGAGGTCCTGGAGGACGACTCGATGGATGAGGCCCCGATGAATGAGACCATCCTGGTGTTGTTGTTTTCATGACGCCATTACATATGCAAGGTCCGTCACCATAACGCCACCCCATCTCAGGACGTACAGTTTTGCGTGGTCCATCTGGCTTTTTTGTGGTCGCTCGCACAACTTCGTAAAACGAATAAAAAGATATATTAAAAGAACACTATTAGAAAGACCGTAAGAATAAAACGCATGAAACCAAAACGAGAGAATACTGGTACTAAAAAATTCCAACCATTCTAGAAATTAACTTGTGTCTTACTTCATTCTCTTTATCGTGCAAAAAAACATAACGAGTATCTACCGAAACCAAAAATTTCAAAACTCAAAATCATATCCTTAAATCCTTGCCGTAGACTGCGAAGATCACCAAAAATGTACACGTCAAAAGTGACTAAACGACAACTATTTGAAAGGGTCTCATTGTAATGGATTATTAATGATTTTTACATGCGCAATTCTTTTACCCTGGTTTTCATTTGATCGCCCCTAAACGTGTTTCAGCGATCGCAGTTCGGTGGTCCACAGGTGCACAATTTAAAATATACGAATGCAAATCGAAAAAAAGTTACTGACAAATTCAAATACACGAATACACATCTTCAGCGATCGCTGGCGATTACCGAAACAGCGATAGGAGCGATCGCAGGTGAGACTAGACATACGGAAAGGACACGGATTTCAAAGATTAAGTTCTTAGAAAACAAATTCTACGGTAATCAAGATTACTTTGTGTCTTACCATGGATCAATGTCGTGGTCACGAGAATAAAACACAATGAAAAATCTTTAAATCTTTTCATCTTTCCTCAACCATATATTTTCTAATGGTTGCGTGAGACTACCCACTTTATATCTGCCTATTACATAATGGTTATTTATATCCGTCCATGCTAATTCGCGCGAGTTTGTTTGTGTTATATTTTCTTGTTAGAAGAGCTCACAGACAATCGAGGCATTAGTTCCCATTGTGAAAGATAATACGTACTTGATGCAAGAGAGAGCTTCGTACGATTCTCTATTGTTTTGTACAACGTTATGAGGCTGTACAATGTACATCACTTAATTTAACTCTGCTGCGTTTTACAAGTAAAATAAAAAAACAAAAATAAATAGACTCGATCGCAAAAGCATTGTCAGGTAAAAAACATAGAAGACGAAAATAAGTCACGTGCTGATGTATGACTTTGATAAACAATCAATGCAGCTCAGGGTTCCTTGGGAAAGGCTCTGCTGGATGGCAAAAAAAATTAAACTGCTTCGTATTTCGAAATCGAAAGTATCTTGTAAGGGATAAAAAGTATTTTTGAAAAGGTTTTGGGTTCATTAGTAATCCAGCAAAAAAATCTTCAAATAAAGGAAGTTCAAATTTCTTTGCCATTCAGTAACAATCACGTGCCAATCTATTGCAAAAGACCTATTATTGTATGAAGGGTGAAAATCGCTATCCGATGGATAAATCCTAAGTCCATGCTGTTATCCAATAAATTTATCCATTGGATAGGATTTATCGACCCTTCGTACAACCGGGCTCTGAGTTACACAGTCGATAAACCCCTTGCATGTGAAGTCAAAGCAACTCAATCTGGGGGCCAAAACAAAAGAACCTATTGTTTTGTCCCCCAGCTTGAGCCGCATTCCAAAATCTCCATGCTTTTTGTCAGTGCAGCGTTTTATGAGATTTCACGAGTTGTATCATTAGATACATCTATTTAACGTTCTTCCCTTGTACTAATTCAGCTTTTATGTTCTGAATGATTTAGAAGTTAATACCATAATCAACAATAATTGATAAAGCTTTTGGGAAGAAGTCGAATTTTAACTTATATATGTCGTATAAGTTGATACATTTTTCAACAACAACATCGATAGTTATTGTTAATGAATTCACTCGATATAGAGCGATTTCACTCACGTGAGAAGGCAGCCATAAACAATAGAAACTTTCTGCACAGTATTTGCATAAAAATAGAGTTCAATTCCCGGAGGATAGAAAATGAATTGTTTTGGTACCCCATAATGGCCGCTGTGACGTCACGTGAAAACGCTCTATTGCATTATGTTAATAAAAATATTTAGTTAGCGTTTTCCCTCCAAGGTCATCTACGTTCTGCGCGCATGCGTATACTACCTATTATCTGACGTCATAAAAAAACCATTGACATCTCCCTAGCTAAGCGCGCGGTCAAATAATTATTTTGTAATTGAAGCCGAATTATGACATCATCCTGAACTTGCAAACATCGAGCACATCAATGAATGACGTCATTGATCAATATAATAGTGACGTCATCTCATTCAAGAGTCGTTCAAGGCTCAGGGCTGTGCGCACAGCTCTGCAGCCAATGATATGAGTTTGAAGGTGTCATGCTTAGTTCTAGTATTTTGTAGCATTTTTATTTTTAGTCATGCGACGACAATTGATTGCAAATCGGTGCTTCAAAACGGCTGTGTTTTCAAGCACGACGTCAATAAAGATGAGATACTAGATTGTGGATATAAAGTTCTAAGTGAAGCACCCAAGATTCATCAGGGATGTCCCAATCCAAAAACGATGTAAGTAAAGACAGTTATCTACGTATCGTTGATTCCTCACTCAGTAAACGTTTTTTTTGTTTTGTTTGCTTATGTATTCTTTTAGTTGTATACTTGTTGTTGCTTGATCTAAGGTTGTCTTGTTTGAGTCATGTTTTTACTTTGCGCGTGTCAAGTTTATGGTTGTAATTGTTCTGATAGAATTGTTAATATATTAAGATGTTTCGTATAAGTGCCAGTTCTCATATTGGCGTTGTTGAATTTTAAAGTGCTACTACGACGAAAATCGCTCAAACTTGGATTCAGCTGAAACTTCCTAAAAATACTCTTTAAAGGTC